CTCGTAATGGCAGCGGTGGAGCGCATGAAGGAGCGCCAAACGCGATCCCACCTCCCCTTCCTCGTCCTCGTCGGCTTCTTCCGCGTCGGGGTTGTTTCCCGCGGCGTTGCCACCCTCGGCCCGCGCGGAGGCGATCGCGACGGCGGCGGCGGCCTGCAGGATCGCCGGGGGGACCCGCCGGACGCCGAGGAGTCTCGCGAGGGCGTCGAGGGCGCGCGTCGTCCGCGCGAGGCCGAACTGCCGCCGCAGCAGCATCCGCAGCAGGACCATCTCGAGCTGGGGAAAGCAGCCGGGCCGGAAGTGGGCGTCCGCGAGCCCCTCCAGCAGCGCGACCACCTCCGACGCGGTCCGTTCGGTGCGAAGTTCCGCCCCGATGACGGCGCTGATGGCGGAAAACAGACGATCGTGGCGCGTCCGGACGTCCGCCCCGGAGGGGGTCCGCAGCATCTTCGCCAACAGCGGCAACACCCGGATGACGTCGGGCAAACGCAGCGTCTCCTTGCTCATCGCCACCTTTTGCGCGATGTGTTGAACCAAATCCGCCACCAGCCCCTTCCCCCCTGCGGGATCCCCCACCGCCTCGAGGCGATCCAGGAGCTCCACCATCATCGCGGAGCTTTTCGAGCGAAGTCGCGCAAACCGCAGCCCTTGGGCGAGCCGGATTCCCACCTTGTAATGCACATGCGCCATCGGGTGGCTCTTTTCGGAAACCTGCTGATGCTCAATAAGGGGGATCCTCTCGTCATCCCAGCTCATCACCGACGTCTGCGGGCCGCCAAGGCGGTAGAGAAGACGTTGGCATTGATGAAGCACGAGCTTGGAAAAGTGCAAGAGACTCTCCCGCTGATGCCGCACCCCCGCATCGTCCAAATTCGCATCAAAAAAGACCCGGTTCTGCTCCCGAACGCGCACGATAAAGTCCAGCATCAGACATAATTCATCCTCCCCGAAGTTTTCGACGGACTCCGCGAAGCCGAAGACCCGTACATCGCACAAACGCGCGAGGCCGCGAAGAAAGTCCGCGTCGATCCTCACTTCCGACGAACTCTCCCCCACCCCAGCCTCCTGAGAGAAGCCAAAGCAGCTATCCTCCCCCTCGCTTGTGGTTAGGAGGATGCTAAGAACGCGAATCGCATCCCCCGGGCGATGGAGAGTCGGCAACGTCGTGAGGATAACACGAACCGCTCGTCGAGCCTCGGAATCGGATCTCGCGGCATCCGTCGTGGGATCGGCAAAAAAACTTCGAAAAGGCACCCCGTGGTTCGCACAGAGGGCGGTGCACGAGATAAACCGATCGGATGCCGCCTGAATGGCCTCCTCCGAGGTGGGGCTCGCGGAAGAATCCCCCGGGATGGGTTCCCCCTGATCCCGTAAAAGAGAAGGGGTCTGCACGGATGGATGAAAAAAATCCAAACCGCTTCTTTGCACGCATCGCGCCAACACACGCAGCTCCCTCGTCAGCCGGATTGGCAAGAACGCCTCAGCCTCGGCGACGTCGTAAGGCTGACGTTTCCGCACCGCAAAGGCCGAGGCGGCCTCGATCCACACCAGCCCCTCCAACATCTCCACACAAGAAAGAAGAGGCGCGGCGGAGGACCCCTCCCCCTCCGCTTCTTCGTTTTCTTCGTTTTCCCCTTTTTTCTCCGCCTTTCGCTCCGTTGGTTCGAGCACCGAGGAGGGCCAAAGCAGCTCCCGGACGTCCTCGTAGGCGCAGCGGACGGCCAACCAATGCCGCTTTCGCATCAACTTTCGATCGTACATCTCGTAATCGGGGCCGACGTTGAGCTCGCGATGGCTGAGGGAGGTTTTCATCCCCGCCGTATCCATCAACGCGTGAGCTTTGCAGAGCCGAACAAACGCGACGAGGAGCTCGCGCAGGGCCTCGTCATCCATCCCCACCTCCCACTCCCCTGCCCGCGCGGAAGGGCGGGTGTGGCGCTGAAGGCATTCCTCGACGGCCGTCGGCATCGCCTCGGCGAGGTCGCCGGTATCGCTAAAACTCGTATCGATCCCCCGCCACCCCGCCGGCGAGGGCCCTTGCCGGACGACGGGAGGGTGGAGAATCTGGGAAACGGGGATCGTGAAACGGAAAGTCTGCCCGCGGCGGTTGGTGTAGACGAGTTTGGTGGTGCCGGGGATGTTGCGCGGGACGCCGAGGGCGGGGCCCTGCCGGATCGTTTCCACCCCTCGGCTGCCTTTGCCCTCCCGCCCGAGGGGGTTTTTGCGGCCGCCGATGTTAAAAACCCCACGGGCGGCCATCCGGAGAGTCGAAGAGAAGGGGAGGCACGAAGCCCAGGACGCCCTCGTGGCGACGCGGGGCATTTGGTTGTTCGATGAACAGGAGAACGACTTCATTCCCCACACAAAACCTTCCTTGCAGCGAAGATCAAACAGAAACAGGGGGGGGGGGGGGGAAAGAGATGAAGAAACGGATGGGAAAGGGGATGCAGCAACATGGGAAAGGGGATCTTTCTCTAAAACACACGAAATGCCTAATCAGATAAGAAATCTGCGCTTCCATCGTTTAGAATATACGCGCGTATAAATTGTGAAGCAAATAGATAATAAATATATAGAATTATTCATACTCACGTACACATGTATATTGTTGTATATAATAGAAATCTATCCATATTTTGATGAACATTCTGTGCTAGGGTGTTGCTGTTGCCGTCATGCTCCATGAAACGAGGGATCCTTATTCAAGCTTTATGCGCAGGAAATAAAGGTTTAATGTAGGAAAAACCCTTCAAAACTTGAAGGAGTTAAACTATTTTTTTCTCTTTAGAAAAGAGAAACCATGTAATATCTATTTTTCTCACACTATTCGTTGTCACTTCTTTTTCTCTTTGACTATATCCTTCTTAGTTACAACATTTAATTGTCTTTTGTTACCCTACTCCCCAAGGGATGGATGGTTTGTAGATGCTTCTTTCCTCAGATGCAAAAGGCTCCCTAATTTATTTGGAAACCAAGAGCATAGGAAAAGGTTGAAATCCAGACAAAGAGTGGCAAACAGCGAGCAAAAATTAAATTGAACGTTTAAAAAAAGTTATGCCTATGATAAGTCACATATCGTTCAAATGGCCATTCGAAGGAAGAAAAACGAAGTGATAAAAGTCTCTTCAAAGTATATAAACGTACATAATAAAAATACCCACGTAATGAATAAATTTAAAAAATGCGCTTCTCATTTTTCTAAATGAAATGCTTAAAAAGGGTACCCTCAGCAACAAGCAACATTGATAATAACAGTATTCATAGCAATACCTCTTTTGCCATTACCATTACTAAAACAACCCCCTATCACCGAACATATACCTCCACACGCAATCCCGCCCTAATCCATAGTATGTGATGAGTTATATCTTGGGCAAACTGCTTCGGTTTTTCTTCTTAGTGATAAAACTCGGATTCGAAACATTCGTAAGCTCATGGAGCTTTAGTGATAGATTTTGCGAGTGTCTGCGACTACAATTTACACTCACTATATTTGGGCTATTGAGGTTCGGAGCGGGCGTCTCGATGTACGGCAACTGATTATCACGGTGGCTTTCCTGTGGAACGTTTGGATGCCGAATTGATGTACGCATGAACTTCGTCGACAGGCCCTCCGCTGGTGAGGTGGGGAGCTCCTTCACTAATACGTCGCGCATGCTCTTTGCGTTCAGCTCCATGGCGTTATGTTTGGAGTATCGGTGACGATGTTTATGACGCCCGGAGCTTTGCGTGAGATCCAACTCGCGGAACTTCTTAAAGTAGGGGTGCTTCAGCGCCTCCTTCGCGGTGAAGCGCTCCCTCTCGTCGTACGCGAGCAGCTTAGTCATGAGGTCGAGTCCGTTCGCGGAGAGGTTGGGGAGGAGCTTCGCGAGCCCGATGCCCTCCTTCGGGGTGAACTCAACCACTTCGTGCTCCCCGTGCACCTCGAACGCCCGGAGAAGTTCGGGTGAGGGGGTGCCTAGAATATTATGAATCCTGTGGATCTGATCGAACTCGTTCGTACCAGGGAAAAGCGGATAAAGTGTGCAGAGCTCGAAAAAGACGCAACCTGCGCTCCAGATATCCATTTTGGCTTTGTAGCAACCATTGGTCAACAAGCACTCCGGCGCACGATACCAGCGAGTGGAGATGTACTCCGTAAAACCTGAGTCGCTGTGGCCGATTCGTGCCGATCCGAAGTCTCCTATCTTCAACGTGTTATCTTCTAAGTTGATAAGCAAGTTTTCTGGCTTGACGTCGCGATGCAGCAAACCACGGCTATGAATATGCTCCAACCCCTTTAAGATTTGGTACATGAAGAAAGCGATCTGCTCCTCCGGTAGATAATCCTTTCTAGATTTTATCAGGTCGCAAAGGTTCATATCCATCAACTCAAACACTAACGCCAGCCTACCAGACGAGCGATCAAAAAGAACGTGAACGAACTTCACAATGTTGGGATGTGATTGCAGCCTACGAATGCACTGTATCTCACGAAGATGATTCACCTGTTCAATAGACTTGAAGCGCTTCTTCATGCATTTTATCGCAACTAACATTTTACTATTTTTGTCTTGGGCCTTAAGGACCTCGCTAGAAACCCCTTCGCCCTTTCGACCTAATATTTGATAACTCTGCATGTTTACTAATATATTGACTCTAAATTTACACGCACCTTCCGATTTCCATGTACTTCTCAGCCAAAGGAGCTAGAAATATTGATCGATGAATCCTTTAGTGTATGAACAATAGTATGTGGAAAAATCATGTATTGTATATATGTGGATGCGTGCGTACGTATTTGTGCAACGCAAATAGGGATGGCGTTGTAGTATCAACCTCCAAACCCATCTGGCAAGAAAAAAGGAAAGTTGAAAAAAGTAAGGATGAAAAGGGATTGTAAAACGTCACACACTATGTTTAATGCGTGGACTTAGCCTGATGAGGACAGAGACCTCTCAAAAGTCTGGCAACATTTAGGCAAGAGGATAAGACTTAGAGTTGTTCTTAACTCGATACATACATTTGCAGATGTCTTTCCATTTAAATAAATCAATAATAAAAGTGAATATTATCTACCTGAACATTACATAAATGGGGTTACCTTCTTATGAAAATTAAATTATGGACGTGTGTGCGTAAAGAGGAGAGGGGGGGGGGAGGGGAGAGAGGGGAGGGGGGG